AATCAGCTCAGGCGGTGTCGAGGAGGAAACTATATTCCGCCTTGGAACTAAAGAACCCCATGGTATTAACAAACAGTTCAACTCATTTGTTGAGCTCACTACCTAAGGCGCGGTATTTGTTCTATTGTGGAATTTTTTGTGATTCTAACTTATAGTTCATGCGCGTTCTTACGTTCCTATGTTCTACCTGTATGTTATCACACTTGCTTCTATGCTATCGATAAAGAGCCATTGCTCGAAACGTCTAGCTATTTTTAATAGTTATTTAGGACTACGATTACCAAATATTATCTTCAATATATCATACTTATCAGTCCGAGCAGCGTTTATTTATTTATTTTTTTATTTTTTTTTTATTTTTTTATTTTTTTTATTATTTTTTTATTTATTTTTTTATTTATTTATTTTTTATTTATTTATTTATTTATTTTTTATTATTATTTTTTTTTTTTTATAAACTACTGGTACATAGACATAGTGGTCAAATATGAGCATATCCAATTGTGAATAGATCCACTGATCCCATAATATTGCAATTTGTACGTCAGCAATGAATGGTTAATACTGTCGAATACCTTAGAGAAATCGAGATAGACAGAATCAAACTATCTACCACAATCGATTATTTTCTTGGTGATATAGTCGACGTACTCAACCAAATTCGTTGCAGTCGAACGGCTTTTCATAAATCCATGATGGCGAGTATGTAGAGTGTTTTTTATGTGACCATACAGTGTGTTGTATACTATTTTCTATTTCTAAAAACTTTGCTGTCAAGTGGCAACAAAGATATTGGTCGATAGTTGCAGGATCCCGACTTAAAAACGGCAACAACGTGTGCTTTCTTAAAAATAAAAGGAAACTGTCATGTACTGACCGAAAAATTATATAAAATTGACAATGAAGCACATAGTTCAAAGGCGCATTTGTTAAGAATAGTCCCAGATATACCACCTGGACCAAACGTCTTACGTGGGTCAATGCCATAAAAAGCTTTTAACACTTCACAACATTGTCAGTAAAGCGGCACTGTAATTTGTAAATGTCCTTTGAAAAAACTTATTAAATAAATTATCCGAATATTACCACCAATGAATGTGATGAAAATAGATACCCGATGTTTTATTCGAATATTATCACCAATGAATGTGATGGAAATATATACCCGATGTTTTATTCGAATATTACCACCAATGAATGTGATGAAAATAGATACCCGATGTTTTATTCGAATGTTACCACCAATGAATGTGATAAAAATAGAAACCCAATGTTTTATTCAAATATTACCACCAACGAATGTGATTAAAATAAATACCCAATGTTTTATTCGAATATTACCACCAATGAATGTGATGAAAATAAATACCCTATGTTTCATTCGAATATTACCACCAATGAATGTGATTAAAATAGATACCCGATGTTTTATTCAAATATTACCACCAATGAATGTGATGAAAATAGATACTCGATGTTTTATTCCAATATTAACACCAATGAATGAGATGAAAATATATACCCGATGTTTTATTCAAATATTACCACCAAAGAATGTGATTAAAAAAAATACCCGATGTTTTATTCAAAT